CCGCGCCCGCGCTGCCGCCCGCCAGCCAGTAGCTCACGCGCCCGTTGGCGCCCGCGTCCGCGTCCCGCGCGCGCACGCGCACCACCGCCGCGCCCGCCGCGTTGTTCTCCGCCACGTAGGCGCTGTAGGCGGCCTCCTCGAACACCGGCGCGTTGTCGTTCACGTCCGACCCCTCCAGCCCCAGCGCCGCGCGGCTCTGGACAGCGCCGGGCTGCGCCCCGGTCCGGCAGTGATGGTGATATTGTAAGCGGAGACCTTTTCTCTGTCTAGGGCACTGGCTATTACCAGTTTGTAGGCATTCGCTGATGCCGGTTCTAGTCTGAAAGGGAAATCGCCGTCGATGTTGCAGCTCACTTCTCCGTTATCCCCTGAATCTCTGTCACGGACATTGATCAGAGCTACTACTGTGCTCGGGGCCGCGTCTTCAGGTGTCGGGTTCAAGATAGGCAGGAGGGAAAGGGTTGGCGCATTGTCGTTCACGTCTAGAATGTCTATGTGCACTTTGGCGTGCGCACTCAGCCCGCCCCCGTCCTTGCCTTCAACACTCGCTTCGTAATATTTCCCTTCTTCGTGATCTAAGGGACCTGTTATCTTCACGTCCCCTGTCCTGGAGTCCAGAGCGAAGAGCTGGCGAGCACTGTTTGCGATGTCACTGAAGGAGTAGGTAATCTCTGCATTTGTACCTTCGTCGCCGTCAGTAGCTTTCACCTGAAAAGCTATGGAGCCCTCTGGCAGGTTTTCCAGCAGTCGAACCTTGTAGATCTCTTTGGTGAACACCGGCGGGTTGTCATTCGCGTCGGTCACGTTAATCTTAATCTGGGCGGTCCCGGATCGGACTGGATCCCCGGCATCCACCGCCGTCAGTATCAAATGGTGATAGCTCTGTTTTTCTCGATCTAAGCTTTTCTCCAGTACCAATTCTACGTGTTTCGTCCCATCAGGACTCTCCCTCACTACAAGGGAGAAGAGCGGGTTGGGGGTAAGTTGGTAATTCTGTAATGAGTTCGCCCCAATGTCGGGATCTCTGCCACTGCTCAGCGGGATCCTGGCCCCAGGAGGCGTGGACTCGATCATTTCTATGGCAACAAATTCTCTGTCAAACTGCGGCGGATTGTCGTTGATATCCTGGATAGTGACGCTTACATGAAATATACTGAAAGGCTTTTCCACGACTGCCTCCAAAGTGAGGACACAGGGCGACACAGCCCCGCAGATGCCCTCTCGGTCTATCCTCTCGTTTACCCGCAGATTTGTATTATCTTCCCCGAGAGTGAAGTACTGCTTTTCGTCACCAGAGACTATCCGCAGCTTGCGTGCCGGCACGTCCGCCGGGCTCAGCCCCAGGTCCCGCGCCAGCGGCCCCACCAGCGAGCCTCTGCCCAGCTCCTCGGGGATGGCGTAGCGGATCCGCTCCGGCGCCGCCCGGCAGCACAAGCACAGCAGCAAAGCGGGCAGCAGCACTCGCCCGGCCGCTCGCCGGCCGCTCTGCCGCTGCCTGCCCGCCACTCTCGG